TAACCCCAATTGATCGAGTTGACTTTTCCCACTTGTGAAGGCTACTGTTATTTTATGGTTGGGTGGAGGAAATAAGCTTTGCTTCTCTTGCTTTAGGGCCCAGACTGCAAGGGGCTTGCTTTTTCCTACCTACCAGCAAATTTGGCTGAAAGCTTGAGTTTGTGCTTCATAGTGGTAGTGTTTCTGGCATCATGCAGGCATTGCATATATGCAGTCCTCTTCCTCCTCTGATAATTCTTTTTTGAGGGGGGTACCTAGATGCTAGGAAAATCTTTCATATAACAGTGTCTCTTAATCTTCACTATATCTACCATCTGGGCAGCTCTGTGAATTAGACCCAGAAACAGGGTGAACAAATGGGTGATGTTAGTAGCAAAGGGGAGACATGAGAGAAAGTGCCTTGCCCAACGTTCTCGACATTCTGGAACTGACATAGGCTCCTGTCATAGGTTCTTTTCTTTAAAACATAAATGCTTTCATATTAAGAAAAGAAAAAGAGTCATGTTGGACCAGACCAAGGTCTAGTATTTTGCTCACATAGCAGCCAACCAGCTGCCTACAGAAAACCCAGAAGCAGGATGTGAGTGTCAACTCTCCTTCTGTTCATGTGCCCCAGCAGATAGGCATTTTTTCCCAAAAGAAATCACTGCAGTAAGTACAGTGATCTATAGAGGATCGAAGAGTTATCAGTGGTCTGTTTCTTTTGGAGACTGGAAGGTTTGTGTTCCAGTGATTTTACAGCAAGTGATAAGGAGTCAGAAATGTTTTATGGTGCTTTTGCAGTGTTTCATAGGATTGTCTGTGAAACAGGATCAAGTTTTTATGCAGTTGCCAGTGGCTCTATTTCCTCTTGTTTCTTTTAATTGTTTAGTCAGTTTCTCTGCTAATGCACTGTTCAAATATTATTGTACTGATGATCCAATGAGGGTACTCATTTGATTTCCTAGATCTGACTATGACTTGCCTGGCTGCCAGTGATAGGAAGTAAGAAATTCCTTGTGTGGTACACTTGAGTGGCATGTTGAAGATGAACAGCAGTGCAGATTTTGGCTTGCAATGTATGAAAATGTCCGAGAGACATTTTCCTTTTCTTACACATCACACCCTGCAAATATAATGTGTAGACTTTCAGAAATTTCATCATATTATCTGTTTCTTTGTACATCATGGCAGCACTAAGTCTGGCTTTCTGTTTTGGTGGAGATCCTGACTGTTGCTAGAAACTGTAAGAAGTCAGTGTCAGGCCAGAATTTATTTGATGGCACAGATACCAGGAATGTTTTAAACAATGATGTCTCATCTCTCCACAGTGGATTATCAAGTTCAGCATTAACTGTGGTTCAGGTTTTTTTTAAAGGCTTTGGCTGTTACTCTTGGGTTGGTAGGAATTCAGCAGAACCCAATTACAATTGGCCAGAGAAGGGAGTAATACTCTTATATTACTGGTTGCTGACTAACTGAGAGTTACTGTAGTCTTGTTAATTAGTGACATTAATTTCTTTCTCTGTGTTGCAGCATTAAAAAATTGGTAGCTAGTATTTGTATTAATGGTGATGAGCTCCTTGTTGGTAACTACTTTCTGGTAATTATTCAGAAGAAAAATTACCAGCCTCTCCAACAAGGATTTACGCTCATCAAAACAAACACTTTCTTGTTTTCTTTGCCTTATTTTTGTCTTATATTAGGTTCTGTTTCATTTGTAAATTATTGCACAGTGAGGTTATAATTTTACTTTTAAATTTTCTGTTAACAATGCATGAAATTTTCATCTTTAGGATTTGGATTGGTGTTACTTCTCTGACCAGTTGTAATTGGGTCCTGCTGAATCCCTGCTAATCCAGGAGACATAATCATGCAATATCTTAGAGTAAGCTAGTCTTCTGTTTATGTGCAATGAATAGCTTGCCAGCTCCTGAGCTAAAGCTATTAAAAATATATATTAAACCACAATTGATTTAACCCAAGAGTAGCAGCTAATGGTGGTGACTTTGATTTCCGGCTGTAGAGGGATGGGACCTTGTGGTTTCAAAGTACCCTCTTAATGTTTATGTTGTATGTGAATGATCATACACATTCCAGTGGAAAGCCTCTATTTTTTGTAAGCTTTGAAAATGATATTTATTTACATGAAAGGATGCTGAAATATTAATATTAACAATAGGATGTTAAATAGGATGTTGAAATTTTCACAATGCTGTCAATGACACATGGTTGATTTTCCTTAATATGGAATTATCTCCATATTCTTCAGATTTTCAGATCTACTGTGGAAGGGGTGTTTCCTTTGGTCTCATATTGATGGCAAAGTTTCATGGTTTTTGTTTGTTTGTTTACTGGTGATTTTATATCTTCTCTTTGGGAAAATTGGCTTCAGTCACTGGCTTCAGTCATTGGCATTGGTTGGATGACCTAATCGGACTGCATGTACTCTACTGTTGTTAGGAATTGCAAATTATCTTTTAAAATCGCTAGACTTCCTTAAGTAAGGAAACTATGGAATATAACTTGAGGTGCAATCCTGTGCACATTTGGACAGAAAATTGGCCTAGAACTTCAGCATTTCCTAACCAGCATGGCAATGCTGAAAAAGAGAAAAGAAGAAGGCAAGGAAGGAGAGACATGATAGAGGTCTACAGAATTATGCAAGAAGTGAAGAAGGTGAATAAGGATACATTTTTCATATTGTCTCATAATACGAGGGTCATTTCATGCAGCTGATGGATGGGAGTTTCAGGACAGATGAAGTACTTCTGAACATAGCACATAAATGCTGGAATTTAGGTTTAGGAGTCCAGCAGACATTTTGGACAAACTTGGCAATGCCAGTACATGTTTTATTTTCCTACTGAAAAAATACGGCAGTTTGAGGGAGGGGCATTATATAGTTGCATATTTACCTTATAAATAAAGTGCCCCTTCATGTTTTTTCAGTGAAGTTAGCTGAAAAAAAAAAAGAAAATTCTTGCTTTTGTTCAGTGGCCTTTTTTGAAGCATAGGAATTTTAAACCAATACAGTCTACTGACTGAGCATTATTTCATGATTCTTCATGAAGAAGGTGGTGTTTTGGTCATATGTTGATAATACATATCTTGCATACATTTAATTGGAAAAAGAAATCGAATTGAAGCCTTTTAATCTTTCCCAGATCCTGTTTATGAGTCCATTCCTCCAGTGAAATGGTTGTTCTTCATATCTTCATATCCTAAGTAAAGTAACATCTAGAAATCCTGATGCTGATCACCATTTTTCCCCTTCTTATATGTAGTTGCTAAACACTGCCTTTTCCTGTCCTGTAAATTTGTCTTTTGAGAAGAACTTCACAGTAGTAGACCTACATTCAGCTGCACAATTTGTATGATGTGAGAAGGGTGATAGAAGTTTTATCTTCTAATCATAATAGGGTCATCCAGTAAAACTATCTGACAATGAACTCGGGACACAAAAAGAAAATACTTTATACAATACCTAGTTATATTATTTAATTCATTACCACAAGTTATTGTAAAAACAGTCAAGTCTTGTGAGACCTTAAAAACTGGTATAACCTTTTATGAATTATTGTCCACAGAATACATGAAGTTGTATCAGGTGAAAGAGGTTTTGGGAACTTTAGTCAACTTTGTCAGATGCATAAAGTCAGCGTAAGCCACCTAGGAAGTCCTATAAATACATGTATAAATAAATAAATGTGAATTTTGGTTAAATGGTTAGAATGGGAAAATGATAATGCTGAGGTCAGGAGGAAAGTATAGACAGTGATAATTACATTATTAACAGTCACCATTTACAAAACTCCATTTGCTGATAGCATAGACACCTTGGAATTATGAACCTAATCAATGCATTTAGTGTGATTTTTAAAAACTCAAGCCACAGTGGAAAGAATTTGAATTTCTTGATGAACAGTAATGCAGTGGTTTCATATCGCAGTCTCCTCCTGAAGTTCAAGAATGGCCATTTTAAGAATACCTGTATGCTAAATGGGTGTATGCGTGTGTGTGTGGAGAATTTATTCCAGTCCAGAAACCCCTATTGCCCTGTCAACCGCTCCCCCACACCCAAGGATCTTTTTTACCCCCAAAGAGGCCAGGGAGTACTTTTTATGCTTTCTTGAGCATCTACATTCTCAGTGGAAAAGTGCAAAGTGCATCACTTCAGAGTAGTGTGGGATATGTCATAGTGAGCTGCAGGGGTGGGGGGTATATTGGAGAAAATCACATCCTTCTCTGTTCTGCTGGATTGAAGAGCCTCCTGTAAGTAGACAGGGACTGATAGGCCAGAGGTGGGCAACCTGTGGCCCTCCAAGCGTTTTTTATTTACAGTTCCTATGATCCCCCCATAGGCCATGCTGACTAGGGCTGAAGGGAGGTGCAGGTCAAAACTTCTAGAGGGCCACAGCTTGCTCCAATCCTAAAACTGGCTCTTGCGACCAAATCCATGTGGGCACTCTTCCATTTGGGGCCTCTGAACTGTAATGTGAAAATATTTTGAACATTTTCAAATTAGATTGGTTGGAATTATTAAAGTAGGATATTATGATGTCATTGTGCAGTAATTAATTAATTACACTACCATTTTCTTAAGCCTTTGAAGGGTTAGGTTTATTGACTGTTTCTGGTTAAGGGTATAATTATGGTTCCATTAAATATGGGCTCAAAAAACAAATTGTGATGAATAGAGTAAGTATAGAAATGAGGGCAGTTATTGAATGACCCTGAAAAACTGGAGTAAATAAAGTATGGATTTTGTGAAAAATAAAGCAAAAAGACATTCTTCACATGCTGTAGCTGTGGCAGTGCAATTTTACTGAGATAATTCAGAGGTTTTTCATGTAGCTGTAAAAAGATTAATGTTCTCTTACATTAGACAGAGCAGATGTTAACACTGTTTCTTGGATGGGTTAAAATTATGCAGATCCTAATATTTAATATGAATGTGATATATTTAATAGTTCTGCTTAGTAAAAACTATCAAAATTAACATATAACTTTTCTTTCAGGGAAACCACGAAACAAATTGGTGCCAATGGATACAATATTTGTAAAACAGGTTAAAGAAGGAGGGCCTGCTTTTGAAGCTGGATTGTGCACAGGTGCTTTCCCCTTATCTATATGTGGTGCTGAAGTCTCTGGTTTGTTGGCTTGATTTCCTGTCACAAATGTCCCAATAGTTCAAGGAGTAAAGCTGTCAAAATGTTTATGTAATTGAGGAAAATGTTGTTTATTTAGCTGGATTCAGCTGTTCATTTAGTCCCATTGTGAACACTTGGGCTGTTCAAGTGCTTGATCTTATAAAAAGAAAATGTTACCAGTTTTGAAATTTATGGTTAATTCTTATATGGTTTTGAAGAGAGAAGAAAAGCTCAATGTCTTAATGTTTTTTCTGAATTTCTTAGAATGTGGAGCTTGCAGATTATGCATGCACTGAAATCTGGGAACACTGGCTAACTCCAGAATGTATAAATCAGGAGTACAGAAACCCAAACCCAAAGTCCAACTGGGAGATGCTCTTGGGAAGCACATTCCACTGGTACACATGGTTGAAGGCAAAATATTCAGGACTGACTCCTTCCTCTTGCTTCTCAACTAGCATATTTTAGTTACAGCCACTAATTAAATCTTAGGAGAGTCATTTCAAATTATTAGAATTGGGGGAAAGGGCACAAAACTGAGAAACCACCAAATGGAGATAGGGGAAATGAGCATGGCCTTCTGTGAAACCACAGGAGGTCATATTTGGTCTCCATTCCTGAAATTCTGCTGCACGCATGAGGGATCAGCCTCCCCCATCCTGGTAGCCTTCAGAGGCATTTGGACTGCATTTCCCAGAATTCCCATCCAGCAGGGCCATTGACTGGGAGTTCCAGGTGTTGCAGTCTGAATGTGTCTGGAATGCTGGTTCAAATCACAGCCATTGTGGTGTTTCTGAGTGCCACTTCTGACATTATAGTAGATGTGGAGAACGTAATGAGCGGGATCTTCATCTTTTTTCTTTGAAAAACTTAAATCACTCCAAGATTCCCTAAGTCAAGAAAACGGTCTGAACATTTTACTTCTTTGTGTTCTTCTTTTTGTAGGTGATAGAATTATAAAAGTGAATGGAGAAAGTGTTATAGGGAAGACATATTCACAAGTAATTGCTTTAATTCAAAACAGGTAAGATATTTACAAATTGTATAATACTCAGGTGAAGAGTCTGTTGAGAGAGGTGGTTGAGTCATTTTTTAATTTTTTTTATGAAAATGACCCACAATAGACTCATAGTCAGATAGTTTAAAAAAGCAACAGTTGAACCACTTCCCCAATTCTGAATGGCCACTCATCCAACCAGCAGCCCCTTACAGATCAAAGCATTCAATAAAATGGGCCCCTAAAGTGAATTTTATTTCACCTTAGACTAGGGTTTATGATGTGCAGAGTTTTTATCTAGCCCACAGATGGGGATCATGGTCTCTGTGCATTATCATGGTCTCTGTGCATTGCACCTGTGGGCTCTGTGCCTGCTTGGAACCTCATTTCAGGAACCTTCTATAGCTGAGAAAGTCTTGGTGGGAGCCCTCCCTGCAACTGGGGGTGTGAACCTGTGTGGGGTCCTGCCCACTTCCTAAGTCTTTCTGACCATCGTAGTGCTGCCTCGTGGACAATTCTTTCAGTCCTTTATGGTTGCTTTTTCTAGACAGACTGAGGTAATTTATTTGTTGATATTCCTTCACCTTTTCCTGTTTTTCATGAATGTTTAATTTCCAGCGATCTGATTAATCACACACGCCCACTTTGGACATATGGCCTTGAAGGCCCCCTTTAGAAAGTATGTCGGGATGCTTCCACCAACAGATGGCTACTCACTTTGCCTTCTTTGCTTAGGTGAAAGTCATTTAGTGGACGCTTGCCCATGCTGTCAGGCGTTCATAAAAAAGGCAAGATGATGGAAAAGAACAAACTGCCTTCAAGCAGGCAGTAGATGCTCCCAGACCTGCAGTGTCCAAAGCACCACAGCCAACCCCGCAAGCTGTGGATCCTGCTGATACAGACTGTCCTGCTTTGCCCACTCCACAGGTTCTAACCATGGGCCACATGAACTTGCTGACCCTAGGATACACCTTATTCTTCTGTGCTGTGAAAAAAACTCACTAAAAAGGCACAATCCATGAAAGCCATAGAGTTGAAGTAATCTGTACCTTTGAATCAGGCAAAACGAAAGAAGGATAAGGAATGTGGCATGACTCTTAAATTACGTTTGGTATTGTCTGCCCTTTGGTCATAATAAATCACCCCAGTACAGGTGTTGGTCTCACTACTACTCCTAGACTAAGTAGTGGGTATTTCAACTTCAGATGGTGAGATAAGAGGCTCAGCTCCTACTACATGACCATCTCTTCAATATTCAGCTGCACAAGTTGATACTGACAATTGGTTTGAATGCTATCTAATACCAAGGTATGGATATTATGACACACCTTTGCCTACACAAAGTTATGAGCGTAGGGAGAGATCATGATCAACACTGGCATGGCAGACTGGGTTTGGCACTCAGAATATTCCATCACCTTTAGAAAATCCTATTATTATTATTGGCCTGACCGGGATATAAGTAGAGAACAGAACTTCTGTTTTCACCATAAGAGGCAGGCACAGGTGCTTTCCCTCTTTGTCATTCACTACCATTCACTACCATTGACATGTGTTTCTCATCCATCATGATGATTTCTTGCCATGTGCTTCTCATCCACCTTGGGTTTAGTGGGCATTGTGTGTGGATTAGCAGCCTCTTCTGCAATCTATTGAGTTTCTGGATCAGATGCATCTATTGCAGTGGTCCCAGTATCCATGCCATTGTCTACTACAGGGGTCCTCAAACTTTTTCTAAAGGGGGCCAGTTGACAAGTGCCAGCGGTGGGTACAGGCCACCAAGGCAGTGCTGGTGGGAGGGGGGCTGGTGAGGGGACGGGGTGTGCGTGCACACGAGGCAGGGATGGGCGCAGGGCGAGGCACCAGCTTGCTCGCGAGGAGATCGAGTCCAAAATGACCTCCTTGCGAGCAAGGCACTGCCGGGCGCATGCACGGTGAGGCACTGGCTTGCTCGCGAGGAGATAATTTTCTATGAGTCCAAAACAATCTCCCCGCGAGCAAGCTGCCACTGGGCGTGCGTGGGGCAAGGTGCCAGCTTGCTCATGAGGAGATCGTTTTTTCCGAGCTGGTCCAAAACAAACTCCTTGCGAGCAAGCCATGCACCCATGCACTCCCATGTGCATGCCTGGCAAGTGCAAAACCTGTGGGGCGGACTGGTTCAATGAGCATGGCGGGCCTTAGTTTGAGGACCCATGGTCTACTACATCATAGGCTACACCACGCTCGTGTGCCAATAGAGGTTATTCCCACTTTGATATAGTTTCATCTTCATTGCAAAAAATCAGTTTCATTCCTGATGCTAAAGTGCGAAGTCAGGATCCTACTTCATCATCCTGAGGTCATGAGTGACTTCTCTGACTAAGTCTTCAGGTTGACCCAGTCTTTGGGCCTTGAAACCCAACAACCAGTTTAAAAACACAAGGACCTCTTTTTTAATGCAGTTTGTGTGGAAGCAGCTGGTTGTGTTTCTTCTCCACTTTGCTTCAGATGGTACGATGGAATGTTCCAGCTGTGATGATGTAACATTGGGAGAATACGTACAGAGTGCAAGAAAAAATGTAAAGTTTCTTTTCTCTCATCCTTGCCAAATTCAGCTCTTGTATTAATTTTAAAAACATATTGGGGATTCTGCTGGAGAACCCATCAATCTCCCAACTTGAGCTGACAGTCATGATCTCGGATGTGATATTGGAGTCCCCCAGGTTGTTGGTTTTAGGGACTTCAGTATTCTGGAATGGTTCAGAATTTCATGCCCACCATGGCAACCATAGGACTGCCCAACATGTCATTGGCCCAATGCATGTGACGGAAGAGTTGGTCTTCTTGGTCGGATGTGAGGATGGTGCTTGGAGCATGAGGGATTGTGAGTCAGTCCTTTTGTCACAGTCAGATTACTGCAATTCATGGCAGCATTTTGCCTCTGAAAGGGTGGAGGACCTATTAAAATAGAGACTAATGGATTGGGTTTTTTTCTGGTTGACATTGTTGGTGCAGCTGTCAAAGCTCTGGTCACACTGCAGAACAAGACTTGGCTACCCAGGGTCTTGAGGGAGATCACCACATGTTTCACAGAGTCACACTCTTTCTCTTTTTGGGTTATTCCTTGTTATTGTTTGTTTTTATTATCAGTTTTTAACTGCTTTGAACTTCTTAATATTTTCTGTTTTCCTGTTATTTTTATTGTATTTTTACCATCTGTTTTTATGGACTCTGTAAACTGCTTAGAGATCTTTGGCTGATATAGAAATGAAGGAAATAAATAAACCCTAAAGCGTTGTTACCACATGTGCATCTAAGAGCCTATAGTATTACAATCTCACCAGTAGTTGGGAGATAAAGAGGGTCACATGAGGTGTGATCTGGGAGAGGTGTAATACCCTCTGTGGACCGTTTTGATGGCATTCTCTCTGAGCCTAGCAAAAGGTATAGATCAAGAAATGTGATGCAGTGCTTTCCAGTTTGCATCATATACTGAAGTCATCAAGTGAATTTGAAACCATTCAGGTCCCTTAAGAAATGTTTAGTCATGAGCCCTCGAGTGCAACTCAGGCACAGATACTTCCACATCTGCTGCTTGTGAGAATTAGGCCATTGTATTTTATAACGGAAGTGAAAGCAGTCCCTAAACTACCAAGAATAATAAATGCTTAGTTTGCTTCTGAAATAATCTCCTTTTATTATTTTTAAATGCTTTCTGCATTCTTCTAAATCAGGGCTGGGCAACTGTGGGGAGGGGATTGACGGCCCTCTTTTTGATCCTCAAACTGCTGCAGGCAACACATCTGCTGCCATATTTGGAAGTAAAAGAAATTGGCATTCAGCAGCAATCCTCTGGGCAGGGTTCAAAAGGAGAAACTTAGCTTGAACCTGCCATAGCAATTTGCCACCAAAAATTGACTGGCAAACTTCCAGTTCTTTTGGACAGTGCTGCAAATTTCAGTAGGGCAGCAGGGGCTACCAGAGAGTAGCAGGAACCGCATGTGGCCTGTGGGCCATTTGTTGCATATTCCTGCTCTAAATACATTGAGACACATGCTACAGAATCATATATTTAGGGTTTAAAAAAAACCAAAGTTGGAAGATAGAATGCCCCTCCCCAAAGAAGGAGGTTTTGGTTTTTTATTTTTTTTAAAGAAACACAAAATCTTTAGAAACCTCTTCCATTTCTTTCAAGGACTGCCCTATTAGCTTTAAAAACACAGGGCTCCTTCTTCTGTGTATTGTGCCAGGGTGTGCTTTTTTCTTCAGTCTCTTTTGACAGTGAGCCAACTTTGACAGAGCAGCAGATGTGAAATTAAAATTAGGTTATGTGTTTGATCAGTGCTCTACATAGCAAACTAAGAATTCATGGGACTGCACCTCACATTACTCAATCTGTCACTTCTATTCAATGGGTGACATTTCATTTGAGCATATTATATGTTGAGAATACTTGATTTGTGTGCGCGTGTGTGCGCTAAGAAAATGTTTTATAAAATTTCCATGAAGATTGGTATTGCTCTATGAACTATTGAAATTGAATAGATGAAAAATGCTAGTGCAGGGTATTTCATGTGCGCATCTTAAGATCAACTTTTTTTATGCAGAATGTTGCAGGGGAATCCTTGTTCAGAATTTGTTTAGCTGGTTTTAATAGCTTGTTTTTGGTGGTGTTAAATGTTAGACTGTAGCTGATTTTGAGAAAGTTGCACCAATAATACTGTAACTGATAAACACATACTTTGTCTGTGATGTGTATTGGGAAGTAGAGCTAGCTCAATGTGCTTTCCTTCCTGAGATGAAGGACAAGATTCCACATTCCACTATTCCACCTTACCCATAGCCTGGCAGTTGAATCTTAACTTGACAGTGGGAAGAAGGCAGTGCCTTCCACCCACCAGAGGATATTCTAGTTTAGGGGATAAAGGGTAGGCTACCCTAGAGAACTTGAATGCAACGCTAAGCACCTATCACTCTGCACCCCTGCATCTCTCAGAAGAAACATCAGCCTCATTCTATTGACAGGTAGGACTTGTTCTGTTAGGAAGAAGACTAAGGACTTTGTAACCTGCAACACTGTGTAAGAATGCTTTTGTGTCTTTCATGTTGACACACTTTTCGATATGCAGGCAGTTCCTGGGTTACAAAAAAGTTCTGTTCCTGAGAGATGGAAATTCATCTTTTAAGTCAAATTTGTATGTACAAATTCCCCCCACATTTGCGGGAATAAGGGGTGCCAGGGCCCCTGTGAAAGTGGAAAAACCATGAATATCTCTATCCCCCTCACCCACCCAAAGTCACTTGCTGCAGAATCACCAGTGCCTCCTCTTTGCAGCAAGGAAATGCTGGAGAGGTTTTCCTCTCTGGATGGGCAGGACAGGAAGGCCTAACTCTCTACCCTTTTGTTTCCCTTTTCTCTATGGTGATGATTTTCCACAGTAATTTTTAAAGTTAACAGGCTTTATGGCAGTTCATTTATAAGCATGGATTGTTTGTAACTTGGGTGTTCATAACTTGGGGATTGCCTGTATATATATTTCTTGTCTCTTCTGTGCTGAGGCTTCTGATCACTTCCACATGGAAGATGTGGAGATGTGAGAGTACGCATAAGTGACATGACTTCATAGCCTAATGCTAAACCTTTGTATAGCATGCACACAGAAATATGTATTGAGATTTTTGATCTACAGAAAAATAGTTTACATGGGTGTCAATCTCCATGGCCCTCCCTGCCCCCAGTTGAGTACATGGATGGAACATGATATGTAAGCTGCACTACATAATCATTCTCTTTGCATAAAAGACTTATTTCTATGTAAGTAATCTTAAAAATGAAGCTGTCCTGAATTTATGAATGATGCTTTGAAGAAAGAATGACACCCTACTTAAAGCAGAGAGACACATAAGACAAACTAAGGTTTCTGTTCCATTCTTGGTGGCTGAAGAAGTGTGACTTCTGAGATAATCAGTACAACACTTTATATTTTTACCAGAAATGAAACCATTGTTCTTACTGGTTAATTGTGATTTTTCTTGATTATATACTGATACGTTTTCTCCTTCCCCACAGTGATAGTATATTGGAACTTAGTGTTATGCCGAAAGATGAGGACATCCTTCAGCTGGTAAGTTATACTTCTGAAATGGAAACTAAAGTAAAATGCCCAGTAACTCTTTCCCAAAGGGTTTTACCTTTTTAATCAGCATTTGCGAATAGGTTGAAGCTATGAATAATTTTGCTAGTGTAATTGTAATGACTATTTTCAGCCGCCTTGGTTTGTTTTATTTTTTATAGATACAGAAGAGTAAAAATAAGTAAATAGAAATGGAAAGAGAGTATTGAGGAACCTTCCTGCTTTTGGTATGCTTGAAGTATATATACAAACCTTTAGAACGTAGTAGGTTGTGACTGCCTAAATCTTAAACCATATTTTAAGTTAAAAAGTCTGCACTGCCCCCTGGGAAGGTTGAATACATGATGATCATCTTCAACAAAAACAGACAAACAAGCTAGCTTTCAAGCTATATAAACACTCTGTTTTAAAGTTAGGTTGAAGGAATCCTTTCAGGTTTTTCTTTAACGTGCAAAAGATTTCAAATTGATCCTTTAATTTTTAATTTTCCAAGTAATCAGTACTTCAATCATTTCTCTCTTTCTCCCTCTTTCCCTTTGTGCACATGCATCCGTGTGTGTGAGTTCCAGTGTTCTCACTGGAATCACTTAAAATCCTGTTCATACCCCTCAGTTGTTTGACTTCCATTCTGCAGAAGCCAATGTAGGTTGTGATACATGGAGATACCCCTTGCTGTGCCTGTTCCCCTCTTACCACATCCTGTGTTTCCAGCAAGAAGAGTCCCCACTCCATGTACATCCACTCAACCACATTCAGCTCTTCCTCACAGCTTTTCCTTACATTGCATTCAACAATTTTGGGTGACAGTATCTCACTGCACAAGCTTGGCCTCTCAGATGAAAAGCAGCAATGAGACTATCAGGCCTGGTTACATAAGGCAATCATATGGCATCAGTTCCTTTGAACTACATACTTCCGGGGTGATCCCACTGCCTTAGAAGTCTCTAATGTGTCCACATGTTGTGTATGCAGAACATGGCTCAGTACTTGAAAGGAGGACAGGCTTTGCTTATGGAAATGTTTTAAATGCATTGGAGCTGCTTTTTAATAAAAGCAAATTCCTTACGATATTGGAATCACTAGAAGGATGTGTAGTAACTTTGGATGTCCTTCAGTCATAGTGCTGAATGAATGAGATGAAAGGTGATTGTGAACAGAACTGGCATGTATAAACATAATTAACAGCCATGTTTAAATACAGGCAAAAATATTGGTTGCAGATTACCATCTTATGCCAAAACATGTAAAAGGATTAATAAAATAACTACCTCTTGGATTTAATAAAGTTGGCCTTCCAACTTTTTTGTTACGACTTAAGTGTGTAGTTGAAGTAAAAATACTGCAGCGTTTTCATAAAAGGTTGTTTACTATTCATTTGTTTGGGCTGAAGTTCATTATAGTGAGGTTTGCAACAAGATGAACTTGTCATTAAGCAAAACTATAGACCAGTTAATTATTTTATTCTGTATCACTGTAAGCCAGTCTCTGTTTAGTTTTATGTTACATTTTCAAAAGCCAAAATTTCCACCAAAAAAAACCAGAGAGTTGTGCCGTATATTTGTTATTAACATATTTCACATAAACAGAGTGTGCGGGATAATAAAGTTCCAACTAGTGATCACTGGGCATCCCTTCCTGCAGTCCTTCGAGTTTTCAGCAAATATTGTCAGCACCATTTTATGATGCATACAAACTTCTTTCCTCCAAATTCTCATTTATTTCATTAATGCTTGAATGCTTTACCACTACACTGTACAAGCACTGATCTTATTGAGTGCTTAGAGAGGGAGAGAAGAATCAGACATTAATACTGCATGACAATATGCCTTTCCTATTATTCTTTAATTAAAAATTATTTGATTTCACTTTTCACTGCTGATATCCACATCTCTCCTAAATTTTTAAAAGCAGTAAGCAGGATTCTGGCCAACTTGCTGCAACAAAGCTGTTCCCTCCCTCTAATCTTTGAGGCCTGGTGGTGTGATGTCAATAGATTATGACTTTAAAAAATATAACAAAGATAACCCCATATACAAAGAAAACATATCATTTTAGTATGAAAAGAAAGAATAAACAAACAGTTTGATCTTAAAAGATGCTAATCATGAAGAACTCTGATCCCTTGAACAGATATAGTTCAAAATCTTTGAAATCAAAAGAATAACCCACGTGCTTAACATTGAAGGATCAAGTGTACTTAGCTGCATGGCTGAAGAAGGCTCAGAAGAAATCATGATACATCATCATAAGTAGCCATGCATGAAACAAATTACTTCTTTGCAACTGATAATTTATGAGGATCTAAGGCAGTGATATCTATGAATCAGTACTGTGCATTCACTAAAGTTTTTCCTGCCCGTTTCTCCCTTAGATACGCTTCCTCAACCATAACCCAAACTACTTAATTTTTTTGAGAAGTTTAAACAATATCCACATCTGGGTCAGAAGACATGTTACCTTGGACATTGACTGATGGCTGCATAAACTCACTGACAATGATAATAGCTTGGATCCAGATACTTTTTTTTTTGCAACCAAAGCAAAATATTTTTTTGCTTGCACAAGGCAATCCCACAAAATTCCTCCAGCTTTCCTTATCTCTGCAGCTCACTGTACCGCACCTCATGATCCACAGGAACAGGTTTCTTATGAGGTTGTAATAGTCCCATGGGAGACACAGGAAAGACTTGTGCACAAGCAGAGTTCTGTACCACCATCTCTGGATTCACCTCATTACTTTGATTTAAGATTTTATTTCAGCAGATGTAAGGATGCATGTGAAGTTTTAACATAACCCTAATTCCAACATGCAAAGGTGCTGGTCTGGCCACTTGGGTCCTTGTACTCTTATTATTACTACTACTGTTACATTACATTTATATGCCACCTTTTTTCCTCTTGTGAAGAACTGAAGGTGGATTATGTAATCCTCCCCAACTCCATTTTCTCTTCACAGCAACCCTGTTAGGCTCAGAGTGTGTGACTAACCCAAAGTCATGCAGTGAGCTTCATGGCCAAATAGGGACTAGAACCTGAATCTCCTGGGTCCACAGTCCAACATTCTAGCCACCCCACTGGTTCTCTCTGATACATAAATCAGAGTTTTTCTAAAAGCTAAAGAGGCTCACTTCAATTTTTGAGTCTTATCAGAACAAGGTTATGGTGATGAGAACAGTATGATAACCATGATTTATCTGTTGCCAAGCAATACAAATCATTGCAGAAAAATGAGGAAAACGGAAACTGCTTGATGAACTGCTCTAAGCTAGTCACCAGTTTGTTATTTAAAGAAAATGGGAATCAAAGTAAATAGACTGTCCCATTGCTAGATGTCTGATGGTTTTGCTCATAGTTAGTATTGGAAAAAAGTATCTGTTGCCTCCTTTATGATGCTTTTTGTTTCCGCCTTGGTGCCTTGGTTTCTGCTTGTTTGCTTCTCTATACCATGTCCTTTAGTTAGTTGGATTGCTAGATCATCCGCAAAGGAACATTTGTGATGCATTTCACTGAAATATATACTTCAGAGTACAGTGGACAGATTTGTACCTCTGGTTCATAGTTCTAAGATGAGGGCTCAGTTCATTAAAGTCGCTGCATTGCTGGTTTCTCGCTCACTTGGTACATGGTATTTCCAAGTTGAACCTATGCTGTGACAGTACTTAATGATGAACTATAGTTCAGCATTATGGGATGAAATTATAATTGGCCTGACGCTCACCAAAGGACCCAGGGCACGAGCAGGTGCCCAAGAGACAGTGCCCTTGGGCATTGCACGGGGGGGGGGGTGTGCCCTGGCCCTGCCCATGGAAGAAGAATGACAGTTGGGGGGAGTTCCGCCCCCAACTGACAGGTGGGCTGGGCTTGGTTCTCTCACTCTCTGCTGCCCTCTCACTCTTAGTCCCACTGTCCCACCATGCCGAGTCGGTGCTGGAAGGTGGTGGGGGAAAAGTGCAATGGGGCTGCGGCTGTGCAGAACAGTGTGCGACTGCAGGGCCAGGCAGGCGGATGAGAGCAACTCTGCACATCGCCAGCAGAACAAGAATGGTTTTGGCTACACGGTCATGCCCTCTGGCAGTGTGCGTAGTAGTGTGGTCCATTTTCTCTATCTGCTTCTCTATACCCTGCCCTTGGCGTTCTCCAGGTGTGCTTCTGTTAGGCATGTTCAGAATGTGTGAGCTTCAATTTCAGAAGGCCAAAGCCAGAGCAGGGGTGTGTGTATGTAGGTGTTTGTGTATACAAATCAAGCTTGCAAGCTTCAGCAACAGCAAGCCACCAGAGCAGTCTTCACGTGGACAGCTTGTTGCTGATGTCTGCACAGTGCTAGTCTCAGGGCTTTCTTCTCAGCCCAGGCAACGTATTTCCCCCTTTCCCAAGTGCTGTCTTCAGCTAGAACTGTTGCCTGTGGCCCCAGTGATCATTGCTTGCTGCTCTGGAAGCTGCCTTGTGCCGGTCTTGGATTGCGCCCTTGTCCCTAGCCTCCCGCACGGGCATCTTGGCCCCTAAGTAGTGGTGCTCCAATTGATGCAGAAAAGCCCTCAAGGAGAGTTCGGCAGGCATCGCAGTGGGGCATTTTGTGCATGTCCTGCCTGAGTGAAACCACGGCCTTTGGGACCTGTGGGTTTTCAGTAGTGGTAGAATAAGACCTAGTTTGGCACAGTTGAAGCCTGCGGGCACCTGCACAGGGAGGGTTGTGCCCCCCCCATTTTCTTGAGCGAGGGCTGCCTCCCAGCATCAGAGGGGGCAGCCATACACCTGTGTCCCCCAGACATGGATTTAGATGGTTGGCCTTTGCACTTAATTTTTTAAAAAATATTTATGTGGCATCTCACAGCCCAGAGGGCTCTCTGGGCAGTTTACAGTAAAATACAGTAAGGTGACTGGTACATTAATAAAAGAAATAATAACACGCTAAGTGTCTGTGATGATTGGCCTGATGTTCACCAAAGGACCTGGGGCACAAGGAGGTGCCGAAGAGGCAGTGCCCTTGGGCATCGCACTCGGCTGCTGCCCTGGCCCCGCCCATGGAAGAAGAATGACCGTTGGGGGAAGTTCCGCCCCCAACTGACAGGTGGGCTGGGCTTGGTTCTCTCACTCTCTACTGCCTTCTCACTCTTAGTCCCAATGTCCCACCACGTGTTGTCTGTGCTGGAAAGCAGCTGGGCAAAAGAGCAATGGGGCAGAGGCTGTCCAGAACAGTGTGCGACTGCTGGGCCAGGCAGGCAGATGGTAGCAACTTTGCATATCGCCTGCAGACGAAGAATGGTCTTGGCTGCACGGTCATCCCCTTTGACAGTGTGTGTAGTTAGTGTGGTCCATTTTCTCTCTGCTGACCTGGAAATATTTACAACTCAGCCCATGTTAAAGGGTGTTATCAAAGAAACTGTAGCAGAGGTATGGTATCTGATAGTAGGGTAAGGGATGGATTGGGAGAGATTGAAAATGTTTTTGCATAAAGGGATATCCAGATGACTACAGTTTGTACTCTACAAAGAAAAAAATAATAATTACCTAGTATAATAACATTGACATTTCTGTCAGCCAAAAATGTCTGTTTCCTGCCTTTATGGAGCACCTGATGTTATTTAATGCTGCATAATATTTGTTCCTCCTCTCAAAAAGTCTGATGTGTCTTAGTAGATTGTGAGCTTTCTGACAGGGACTTACCTTGTTTCAAAATGTGCTTCTGTTATACTAAGTGCCAAGCCAATTAGCCTGCACCCTTTTCCCATGAGTACTGATCTTCATTTGTAGAAGGGGAAAGGGAGTTGGTGGCAGGAGACTCAAGTATGCAGAGCAGTGTGCATGATAAGATTAGTAAACTTGGATTTGTAAATCAAGAATAATTTATTTTCTTACACAATGGTGTATTATTGTATATTGTAGTTTTTGTGTATTATTGTGAATTCTTTCTGAGAATTCTGAGTATTCTTTCACAATTCTAGTGAAAGAATACTCAGGCAAACTATGGCATCTCTTGATATACATTTTTCCTAATAATATATAATTGGTTCATTTCCTGTAGTTCTTGGGTGTAATAATTCCATATCCCTGCTTTTTTTAAGGCAGAGTTGATTTATTTTTAAGCGTCTTGAAATCCTGCAGATTTGGGAATAGTATACATGCTGACATTGGAGTAAGGAGGCAGTACTGGCATATTCCAGTGTGTGAGCCAATATGTTTCCTGAGAACGTACCATAGCTTGTCTTCTCATACGTGCTTTTCAGTGTGCCTTTTTTGTCGTTTGCTCCTCCTAATCTGAAAAGTACACAGATACAGAGTTCCCATTTTCTGACATGAGAGAGCGTGCAAAAATGAGACAGCTGTATTAGGATACACCTTGCAACTGAAGCACAGCCTGTTCCTGATTTGTCACTGAAGACACAGGGAAGAAACACAGAATGAAAATGATCACATGGGGAGGCTGTTTTGCTCTGAAGATTATTCTGAAATCATCCATCTACTGTCAGACATAGAGTATAAAAGCAGCTGCAGTCAGCTGACAGCTTGTGGTTCTGTTCAGATGCATGTGGGGAAGGGGTGCATGGATTTTAAATGCATAATGAAACCCTTGTTTCGTCATCTGGAAGCAGGGATGGTAGCAGCTCAGGGGAGATGAAAGAACGTTGTGTTGCTCTAGGAGAAGGGACGCCTTGTAGCACAACCAGAAGGCTCCGTTTGCAGAAGAAAAGATGCACTGAAGCAACACAGCACAACTGTATTTTCTTTTTCTGGAAGGCTAGGGAAGAAATGAAAGAATCAGGTAAAAGCCTGAGACAGACATGCTCACAAGGAGACTGAAGTTATTGTTTATGCTCCACTGCTCTTTACCTTCCAGAGAAATCGGTGTAGATGTATTTTTAGCTTGCTATGTATCCACCATCAATATGACAACATAATTCTATCTTTACATCCATAAGCAGCTTTTACTATGTTTTCCTGTTTTCTACCAGCTGCAGTTTTCAAAGGATGTTACAGCACTGGTAAGAAATGTACTGTAGCCATTTCTCTGATTTTGTAAGGCATGTGTTTCTTGGTAGATCTGCAAGAAGCTGGACTGTTAAAACCTGCAAGTTGCTGAAAGCAGGCTAGATCTGCTGGTTAGCTGAATCTCAGTTGTAATGTTGATTCTAGTATCTTTTAAATGCGTGCCTGTGTTTTGTTAGTTACTTGGATTATTTCTTTTCAGTTTTGCTTTTAATATTTTGTTTGCACTTAACTGATGCTCACCATAATATTTATCACACCCGTGTTTTTTAAGCGCCTCGCCCTCTTCATCCTCAGCACTTTGCTCTCAATCTAATGTTCATGGCTGCATTTGGGCTTTTACAACTGGTCTAATGCTAAGGCAGGGCATGTTGATTTGTCTGAATGAAGCATGTTATAATTTGAGCAAGAAATGCTGTGATATGATACCACACCTAAACTGTTAAAAATGACTGGGAAAGGTTTCTGCATTGGCAAGCTATCTGTTGTCAGCTCTTAATTTCTTATTGCAACTAAAGGAAGTCATGGCAAAGTCTAAAATGATGGTATTTGTAATATTCTGAGCAAATCTTGCAAATGTACTTTTAGTTGTTTATGGTTGTAGAAATGCCCTGATGCAAACAAAAACATGCAAAATTTAAAGGAATTTTCCTTAGGATTCACTTTCTTAAATGCAAGGTAAGATGGAGATTATGAAGCCTATAAGGAATATATAGTTTATGATAGCCTGTGTTCCAGTCTTAAGAGGCGCTTATAAATAACTCTCCAACCATGAATGTTGGTGGTTTCTTCAGATTAAAAAAGGCAGTGAGTATTATGGAATAAGTAACATGTCAGTTTATTTGGAAGGAGGGTGGGCGTTGGCTGGCAACAAAGACATTGCCACTGTGTATTCACATTAGATATAGCAATTGTGCCCTTTAGAAAAGCATTCTGTATTGAATGTAGCAGTGGCTATGTAGACTATCTGTTTCCCCATGTGGTAAAGAACTGCAGATTTTCTAGAGCTTTCTCCTTTAACCTGTCGGTTTCTGCAGAATCCTAGCTTCCAGGATCAGAAAAGCCCAAAAAGGAGGAATAGTTGAAGCGAGGTTTGAGAATTTGTAGGGGTAAATATACCTTTGGTTTACGCTTATGATCTCTCAGCTCTTCCTGATCACCTGCAGCAGTTGCTAGAATTTGATGTTCATTTGATTTATATGAAACATGCTTAATCCTTTCTGGAGACTTTTTCTTGCAATATTTACATATATGGAAATATATATATATTTAAGGCATTTCATATTTCTTATTCATTGAACAGTGATCCTTAGCAAAGAGCATATTTCATTTAGGAATTTAGTTGTCAGCAGGATTCATCTCCTTGCAGTATGGTGATGGCTCCTCATTCACATTTTTTAGTGATGGAATTTCTTTTTAAATTCTCTCTGCACAGGCATATTCTCAAGATGCCTACCTGAAAGGCAATGAAGCCTACAGTGGTAATGCCCGCAACATACCTGAACCACCACCAATATGTTGCCCTTGGTTAACATGTCCAGCTTCCGTCATGGCACAACCTATTGAAAAAGCACCTCCTGACTCTTCACTTGGAAAGCAACCAACTAGTAGACCTTTACGGACATCAGCACAACCAGAAAAGGCCTACAGAATGGAAATACAAGTGCCTCCATCTCCAACAGATATTGCAAAATCTAACACAGCTGTCTGTGTTTGCAATGAGACCATAAGAACTGTTGTTGTGCCTTCTGAGAAGGCTGTAGACTTCCCATCCTGTAGAACAAACCATACTGGTCTGTCTCACCGGTCAGAGGAAGTAAGATACGGTTTCAAGGAGCAAACCACTCCAAAATCAAAAGCACGAACTATATCACCATCCTCTCCAATGTCCACTGCCATTGTACTTCCTCAGACACCACTTACAAGGCCAGTAGATCCCACTGAGATAACTGACATGTCTGGAACCTATGGTCGATGTCCAGAAGGGGTCTCAAGTACCAGATCACCAACTCTAAGTGTAGGTGGTTCTTCTATCACAGGCAACCACTACACTTCTCCAAATGCCCACCAACATATAGACTGGAAAAATTACAAAACCTACAAAGAATACATTGATAACAGACGTTTGCACATGTATGGTTGTAGAACCATACAAGAAAGATTAGATAGTTTAAGAGCAGCATCTCAGAACACAACAGATTATAATCAAGTGGTACCAAATCGCACTGGTTCACAGGTACGACGCAGAAGCACCTCTCATGACAGGGTCTCACAGTCCATTCTGATCCGGCGAAGGAGTGTGTCCCAGGAAAGACTTGAGGATCCTCTGATGCTAAAAGAGTGGCCAAGGAGTGCCTCACAAGATGCTCTAACCTCACCATCTATCAGCCCCCGGAATCATAGGGCACAGTCCTGGGATTATTTAGGCAAGCAGGGTGAACCATTAGAAAACTTTCACACTGAAAGTCTTGATGCAGATTCAAACATAGACAGAAAAAAGACTTACAAGTGGACTGGATTTACTGAACAAGATGATCGACGAGGTATTTATGACAGACCCCGGCAGCATGCAATTCACATGTCTCTTCGAGGTTCACATTTTCCTATGGTTCCAGGTGCTTACAACTCAGATAGTAGACGAACAAGCAGCAGATCCTTAGCAACTGCTTCCCAGATTCAGAAGTTTCTCCCAGATGTAAAAACATTGCAGCCTGCCAGAGATTTGCCAGCCACCAGTGGAATTTCAAAGCCTACCACCATTTTTCAGGAAAGGCCATCTCAGTTGACTTATGGAAGCACACGAAGCAACTCCGTGAAGACTTCTGCACCCCATCCACCAAAACCATTGTTTCCCCTGGATCAGAACCTGGATGGTGTTACAAGCAAAGACCAAAGAGACGTAAATCACATGCATCCTGGTGGTTTGTTAAATCAGCAGTCAAGGATACAAGCAGAAAATATACCAGTCCACAAAGGAGAAACAGGCAAGAGTACTCATTCCCCTACTTCCTGTATAGCTTCTGCCAAATTTGTCCCACAGACCAGTGAGCACTTAACTACCTCTGTTAATTTAGATGTCTCTGCCAAACACAAGGTTCAAGATATTGAAAAAGATACAAAAGAGTTTGAGGGCCAACTAGCAGATGCTGTAGATGAGGATACAGAAACAGTTGTGTTGCGGGAAAAGTCTCCTCCTGGCCATCAAACACCACTGCCTTTGCGTCATCAGTCCTACATCTTAGCTGTAAATGAGCAAGAGCCTGCCTCAGAGACTACTTGTTGGTTACCCAATGATGCACGTCGAGAAGTGCATATAAAAAGAATAGAAGAAAGGAAAGCTTCTGGTTCCAGCCCACCTGGTGATTCCTTGGCATCTATTCCATTCATAGGTGAGCCAAAACCATTGGTTTTCTTCATTTCTCTGCCCTTGATATGTTTTTGGATCAGTCTCTTTGTTTATCAATTAATATGCTTCCTTCCAGTTAGTATGTATGAGTCCACTAATATCTGAAGGTATAATCTAAAAAAATAGGTCTGTTTAAACTTTGCTGTGCCTAGGCCTCATTTACCCTTAGCTTCTTGTGTGGAAGCTGCTTCCCTGTAACATTTTCTATGCTGCAGTCATGATTTTGTGTATGTACTTCTACTAAGGGATTGCGAATGATCACCTCAGTGAGGTTTTATCACCTGATTGGCAGTGGTTTTCCTGGACAGGTGCAGGTGCTGGCTGGGTGGGAAAGACCCAGGCCATCTTTTGTAGGAACATAGCAAACAGACTTATGTAGAGTCAAGGCTTTGGTCCACATAGCCCAATACGGTCAACAATGGCTGACAGCATCTCTACTGGCCTTTAAACTGGGGGTGCTGGGAATTTTAACTTGGGACCATTTCCATGCAAAACATGTGCTCTGCCGTTGAACTATGGCTGTAGTTGTAGTATTCCTATGCATAACATACTTGTGCAGGAAACTTATATGGAGTGAATGTCTAAATGCCATTGGTTGTAATAGAAATCATGCTTACTTTTCTGCGTATTCTCTTTGTATGTATTAATATAAAAAGTCAGTAGTGGGCATTTGGAAGTGGTATGTTAAATCTTAGAATATTTTTGTTTTGTTTTTAGTATGGTTTGCTAACATTCTTATAGTTTCCATACATGATTTTGGCAGCAATCATGAAATTGCTTCTCAAGGTAAATGTCCCAGCAGTGCCAATGGGGGTCATTCTGAGTAGACCTGTATAGGACTGGGCTATTAAAAGGTTTGCTTTGATGACCTTGATTTTAATAAGGTAAAATGTATATTACAATTTTCAGGTCTTATTAATTTAGCTCATTAGTTGTCCTCAGTCTTTTGCAATGTTTTAAAAAATAGCACTGAATTTGTATTTGCAGACATACCTTTAAAGTCTAGAGTAAATATGAAAAGTAATGCATGTTAGAAGAGAGAGGAGAAATAGAAAATTCTGGCATGATATGAAGAGCACAGAGATCAGGAGTATCTCTGATATTTGTGCACTTGTATTAAAGTGCTTTCCAGTTTGCAGCTTGGGAAGAAGAGAAAAGGAGATTGTGCTTGTTATGTAAGAAATAGGCTCCCATAGAGGAACTGGCAAATGAAAGAAATAAAAATATGCTGAATAAATTAGAAAGTGGGAGCAGGAGAGGAAGAAATGTGGAACATACTTCAGCTCAAGACCAAGTGCATGTATGATACTCAAAAATGTTTTTGTTGCAACATTAATTTTTTTCAGGTTCTGACATAATTTAAACATGTGCTCATGAAATCTGTGGCTGTAACAGTTACTCTTAAAGTCATGTAATGATCTTGTCTTACAAAAAAATCTCCCCTGCACAGGTGTGCTGCAGCATGGTTGTATAATGGTTGACTGTAGCTGTTGGAGCTCAGTTAAGACATGATTTTGTGGAGAGATTAAGAAAAGGCAGGCTCATGGGAGTGGAATACATGGATATTAAAGCTGCAGCATTTAACTGATCAGCCAGTTGGATTAGTAATCAGTTTAAAATATTTTGATTGATGAAAAAATTCCCTACTGGACTGGGGAGAAAATTCAGGAAAAAATCCACTTATTCCTTTTAATACAAGTACTTACAAAATGACAGATGGTAACCATAATCTTTAACAATTTCCTCCCTCACACTGGAGGAAGTGTCTTTTCTAAGAGAGATGCCACATGTATGAAATGCTGAAAAACAAATTAGGCATGTCCATGGCTTCAGAGCAGTATAAATCTATGCAAGTTTAATCGAGGAAGGGTGCAAATCTATGGCTTGATGGGTGCTGGACAGCCATAGGAAAATTCAGGTCCAACCTCACAGAAAACATTCAGAGGTTCGAGCAGGAACTCTGAAACCAAAGTGCATACTCTCCACCTTCACACCTGGCATGATTTTTATTTTATTTTATTTTTGATGCTGGTCTTGGCTCCCAGGTTGCAAGACTGAGCTCATAGCTGAAGGTGGGGGAAGGGAGTGTGGCCCCAGCATGCTATGAGGTGGTGCCTCAGTCTCTCCTCCTTGCAAGCAGCAGTTAAACACCTGCTTGGCTGCCAATCTATTTTTGTGTTCCTCCCACCTTCCAGTGGTTCAAAGGGTTATGGATAGCTACATTGGCTGGAGCTGTAAAGGTCAAATGATTAATTCTTCAAATGATTTGTAGCCCTAATTCATATGCGGATGTTCTATTCATTCATGGTAACAGTTCTGCTGAAAATACGGATGTTTCAACATCAGGTTTCAGTCACAGCCCAGCAACTATTTCCAAGAAAACCATAGGAATAACACAGCTTTCTATGTAGGTCCAGAAAAATTACTAGCCTGCAAAACATATTAGAAGCCTGATCACTGGCACAGATCCAGTTGTGGTGTAATAATGGCCTGAAAGGGGGAAAAAACAAGAATTAGAATTAGATACACATACACACATGCATATATGCTGTTAGCTGGAAGTCATCCTTATTTGCCACAGGCGAGCAGGATACTGGCCATTTTCACAGATGATAGAATCGAATTATTCATACCAGGGCTGGAGAACTTGTAGCCAGCCAGATGTTGTTAATCTCCAGCTCCGATCAGCCCCCCAGCATTGCCGGTGGCCAGGCATGCTGGGAGCTATAGCCTAGCAACATTTGGAGGGGCGCAGACAATGTTCAGACAATGTCATAATGCAAACCAAATTTGATAGACAAAATACAAAAGTGTGAAGAATCTTATATCAGCATTTTCTTAAAAAAGAAAAAAGAGCAAAGCAAGAAACAGCTTATAGAGTCACTTACACTTGTCAGCTTTTTAGGTTGCCAGCTATATTGCCATGCCAGTACTGGCCAATTGTGAGATGAAAGGTAGTAAAAGGGTGAAATTAGTAAATCACAGCTAAGGAAGTGTGGGGTAACAATCCTTTACCAGCAGTGGGCATTGCATGGCAGCAGTGAGTGCCTAGAACAGCAGGGTGCAGGCACACAGCTGTAAATGTCTCACTCTCCCCAGCACATGCATTTCTGCTAAATGGCAATGGCCTTTTACTGCTCTCTATCCCTCTTCACCAGTTGCATTGTAAGTCATCATTCAGTCTTAAATTTGTGTTGAATGAAAACAGTTAAAAAAGACATACCACCAATGATCATTCCTAGTATTATCATCCCAAACCCTTTTAGGCCTTTGGCAACATTGAATGGAACGGAAAATCCCTGGCATCCCTAAGTAGAACAGAAAAAACTTCTGCCTGATTCCCTGGAGAGCTGCTGCCAGACAGTGTTAACAACACTAGGCTAGTTGGACTAATAATCTGAATTAGGGCATAGGAAGCCGCTTTTTCCTAACCAATTTTGTTTCAAAGATGCCTTAATGGCTTTTTTGTACTACTTAAGAATATTAACCATTTGTCATGTGTCCCAGTTTGACCTGACCTATTTAGTTTGACTTCAATGTACAGAGCTACTTTAGGTGTGCCCAGTGGGACTCTTTTTTACTGTTTCCCATTGAAAAACAAATCCACTGTCACAGACTGCTTTTGATAGCCCTGTGCCTTGTCTAGTGGCATGGGTTGGGGGCCAGGACAGATTCTCAGAAAAGAAGCCTGAAGACTTTTTACAGTCATAGAATGCGCAATATTGTTCTTCAGATTCTAGTCATTATGTATCATGTCATTCAGGAGTGTCATCTGATTTAAAGAAATTTTAGGGTGCAGTCTTACACATGTTTAGATGGGGCAAAAAAAAAAAATCTGAAACGCCTAGCATTCTGGGAATGTTGAAAGTTTTAGGACTCTTTTCTGTGCCCCAAGTTGATTAATCATGCATATTTTAGCAGATTAAGTCAACAATTTAATTGTTGCTATCTACATACATTTGCATATGAAGAAAACATGTTCTAAAGAAAAGGCATCCTTCCTTTGTTTTTAGATAATGTACAACTGTATTGCAACAGACACCATACCACGAACACTCTCTTTTCTTTGTCAAACAGTGGGGAAAGTGTGCATACCATCTGCAATGTAGGATAAAGCTTGCCATCTGCAAATTTTTGTAAATATATTTTAAAAATCTTCTGCTATCAGGAATGCCTTTTTATTCAATCAGAATACCTTAATTGAAGATTCTAACCAATTAATTGATTGCAATAATCATAATTAGAATATGTAGCCCTTTCTGTTTGTAGAAAGTGATTTACAAATAAGTGATTTGTAAACACAGCAAACCTTTTGCCTGACTGACAAGGTTCTCATGATCAAATAGCTTTGATTTTAAAGAGAAGCAGCATTTTCCCAGTGACTTATAGAGAGATGATTTAGATTGAAACCTACCACAGAGTTTCTGGCAGATGTGAGATACTGATCATGCACTCCTTTGGCCACTGTGTTGTAGTTTGTTTATCATATGAGAGGTTTTGGAAATACTTCATATTCTGTTTAAATAACTAGCAAGCCAAAGCACAACAGTTTTGCTAAAAGGTTGTAGCCAGTGTTACCTCTGTAAGAAAAATGTAACCTAGTAACAGAGGTGCCAAAAAGTAAGTGGGTGGACCTTCTTCCTATAATTCTGTCTGAGTTCCTTTAGTAGTGACACAATTGTGATCTCATAAAGTGGTCTCCAGTAGAGTGCAAGTATTAACATGAATTGTGTTGAACTACTGTACATTACCTCTACTGGTCGCATTAGCTGGCATGCTGTGTTTTCTAGGGAAATTCAGTGCACCAGCTAATGGCGCTAAAGATAGTTTATATTGGCTCAACATAATTTACATTAGAGTGTTGCACCCTGTTGGATACTGTCCATAATCTAAATTCTCTAATTTCTTATTAGTTATGTAACTGAAATTGATGCAGCGGAGGGAGGGCGGAGTGTAGAATAGAATCTCTCTATTATGGAACAG